TTTTTTTTTTTTGCAATCAATTCACTCGAGATAGAGAAATTGTATAAAAGTGCAAATGTTAGATAATGACAAAATGAGATAAGAAGAAAAAAAACATTTTCTTTTTTTTGCTCATTGTTCTCTTCTAGCTTATACTCTAATCGTTTCTGTATATTTTGTAAATATTAATAATTTGTTCAGATTTGCGCGAATTTTTATGCGAAAACATTTAAGGATATTTGAGTTGTTTAATTAATTTTAACAATTAAAATGTACTCTCAGTGTACACATACACGCTGAATTTTCGCGAAACATCTCAAAATAACGACGATTGTTAATTTTACAACCACTATAAGTTGATTGAAATTGAACAATCGTTCGAGATATTGTATTTCGATAAATTTAACATGTATGTATCAATGTATAGAGATTAATCAGAAAAGGATGTCGAGCAATTGTTTATAAATGTGCGATTTTGTATGAATGTTTGTTGTGTATGGATACATGATGTTGTATGATGTATGCATGAGGTGTATACATGTATATAAAAAAATTATATAAATATTAAAAAAAATCATATATATATTACATGAATCAACTTAGTCTATGTATGATACATTATTTCATAGCAATAAAAGAATTTCGTTCAATATTCTTGTTTCTTGATTTCAAATTTGTATTTTGCGTCGTTTTCCATAGATGGCATGTTTGTCAGTTTTATCAGGATAATTTCGAGAACGTGATTGGCCAACGATTCTTGGTCATGCAGCGCTACTAATGCATACTTAGTATACTGATCTATATAGAGCAACATTTGCAAAAAAAGGAGGGACAAGGCTCGACTACGGTGTGCCGGTTTCTAAGATTGGTGCAAAGTCAGTTATACTTTTAATTGCATTCTTCTTTTAAAGTATTTTGTTAGTGAGTTCGTTAAGTGTCATGTCAGTGCTTTTGATGAACGCAAGTAATATCTGTTAAATAAATTGGCCGAAATGTATTGCATTTACTTTGCTAATATGTATTACACACATCTAATGCAGAATATTGCGTGATGCTCTCTTCCTTGTATTGCTTTCGTTTCTACTGGTTTTTTTTATCGTATCTTTTGTTTTGTTTATAATTTCGTAAAAAGTTATACAAAAACAGTTGATTACAGTTTCAATATCAATCATATTGCATGTTCGAGTTTCGTATCGGCCATTTCCGGTAACCTTGTATTCACGATTTAATCGCAAATTTGCGAACGGATTATTCGTTACATCCTCAATTTCTATTAACATCTATTTTATTGTATTTTCAGCTTCGTTAATTGCCAGGAAACCTCTTGTTGAAATTGGAACTCGTCTTTTGTCATCCATGGCTCAACAGTTGCAGACTCACGGTGTTGTGCCTGATGTTATAGATAAAGTTCCCACAAATGTATTGCAAGTCACTTATCCAAATAATCTTGCTGTTGAAATTGGCAAAGTATTGACTCCAACGCAAGTTAAGGATCCGCCTACTGTTAAATGGGACGGAGATGCAAATACTTTTTATACTCTGTGTATGACTGGTATGTATTTAATGAGAGAATAGTAATTTTATAGCAGTAATTTTTAATTAATAGTTAGATTAATTTATTGTATTCTCCTTTCAGATCCAGATGCACCAAGTCGTAAAGAACCAAAATTTCGTGAATGGCATCACTGGTTGATAGGGAACATTCCTGGTTCTGATGTTTCCCAAGGAGAAGCCCTCTCTGAATATGTTGGTTCAGGTCCTCCAAAAGGCACCGGTTTACATCGTTACGTCTTCCTTTTGTATAAACAGCCTGAGAAGCTTACATTCGATGAACCTCGTTTAACTAATCGCAGCGGGGATAATAGAGCAAAGTTTTCCATAAGAAAATTCGCCGCGAAATACAAACTAGGAGATCCTATTGCTGGAAACATGTACCAGGCCGAATTCGATGATTATGTTCCACTGCTTTATAAACAATTAGGAGGCTAAGCACGAGTAGAATATAAGGAGTATGAAGCATGAAGTATAGATTTCAAAGATGGATATGCAGATATTTTACACTCTTGTAATACTTGTACGTGAAGAAGGAAAATAAACGAAATTACAATGTATTATCATAGTGTAGTCGATCAAGTCAATCTATTTTATGCAAGATTTTATTGAACTGATTTGATAATTGGAATGATTACTGTTTTCGTTTGATAGCGAAAGGATATTAAGAAGGTTGAAGAAGCGAATAAGGGGCCATGGACTTGCGAAAAGAGGGGGAAAAATATAGTTGTTCGACGACAAATGAAAAGAAAAGTTAAGCGTAATAGGAATTCTTTTCAGGTTATAAACTAGGAAAGGGAGAGGGGATAGTCGATGGGATAAAATGTTTCTGCAGAGTTGACTGTATTGTAGTGACTGTAGTTTGTCGAGGCTGAGTGAACGATCGTAACGAAACGAAGATGAAGTATTTCATTGTGATAGGTGCGTGCTTTTTAATTAGAATCGGATCATGAATTTGACATGAGTTTGATTTCGAATCATCGTATATTAAATGTAAGATAAAAATAAATTGCAGGAGTCTTTATTTGCGGTATCCATATTATCACGGGTGCAGATACTCGTTCAAAATTCGAGGAAGCGCAAATTGTACCTGACATACTGGACAAGGCACCAACGGAGAAAATCGAGGTGTAGTTTTCTTTAGATGATTACGTTTAATACAAGAATGAATCTGTGAGTGAGAAATGTCAAAAAAAGATGTCAGGAGAAAGTAAAAGTCATAGATGCCTAATTAATTGTGCGTGCATAATCACTTAAGACAGTTTAATTAAAAAAAAAAAAATAAATTATTTCATATAATTAAATTATTTAATTATTTCATATGACATTATTAACGTATATGGATCTGAATTAGGTCAAATACGGAGAGAAAGTGGTTGATTTTGGAAATGAGTTGACTCCGACGGAGACGCAAAAGATTCCAGAAATTCATTACAAACATGAAGGTGGAGTTCTTTACACACTTGTAATGACAGGTAAGTAAGTAGACAGAGTTAATTTGTAAATTTATTTCCAGGCCAGAGTTGATTGTGAAGAACGCGACCTTATATACATTACCTTATCCTTGTGAAACTTTCGAGGCTTGCAACTCGCGACAACTTTCACCAAGTCGCTGCGAACAAACCTGTTTCTTTCGTTTCGTTCATTTTTTATTTGCTGTTTGATTCTTGATCGATCGGTGATTCCGATGGCTCATGATTTAATGCTTGTTGAAGCCATGACCAATGCGATGACTTTATCATGTGTAGATGCTGACGTACCGACCAGAAAGGGATACAATCGGGAATTTCGGCATTGGCTGGTTGGAAATATTCCAGAAGAAAATATCGCGAAGGGAGAAGTATTAGCGGAATATGTTGGTCCAGCGCCACCAAAAGGTAGCGGGAAACATCGATACATCTTTCTTGTTTACAAACAGAATCAAGGGTCTATCACTTTCGACGAGAGAAGACTAAGCAACAGGTATAGTGGATACATATATGTATAGCTTGCTTGATTTTAACCTTTTCGTGGTTGTGGTATAAACGATGATGATTAAAATGTTCATTGAAAGAACATAACATCATAAATTATGCATTATGATAAGTTATTACTTACTTTTAATCTTTAACCAATTAAAAATTTTATGCACATATAATACTTACGAAGTATGATATACGATCGATGTAAGAACTAGTTTTCTATGACTGAAAACAGATATACGACCGTAAAAAGTTGATTATATTCTATTTTTCTTTTTTCTGGCTAATAAATTGATAAATCGCGAATCATCGATTGGTACGAATTCCAGGGATGGCCCTCAACGAAAACGATTCAACATAAAGAAGTTTGCAGAGAAATACAGTTTGGAAGGACCAATAGCAGGAAACTTTATGAGGGCAGAATATGACGATAACGTACCAACGTACGCAAAACTTTTAGGATTCTGAGGGATCAAGATGATTTTGAGTTGAGTAACCGGCTCACGAAGGACACTCTTCTTTATTGGTATTTTTAGGTGATGGTACGAACAAATTGCTTGTACAAATACGACTGCCGGCGAATCGAGGTACGATGTATTCAATTTACAACGAGGACGATGAAATAAGAGATAATAAACGTTTGAAGAAAATAACAGATACGAGAAAAGTCGATCGATTTGTTTATTTTTTCGTTGATTCTCGTTACAAATATAAAACGTATCCTATGTAAATTTTGCGACTCGTGGATGGCTTTGGTTCGCTCTCGGAGTCACTCCGAGTTCAAAAAATCTGGGTCGTCTTGAAGCGAGCAACGTTGTCGGCCTAGTAGTTTGCTATCGGGCAAACAATTTATAGACACCGATCATTTTTTTTTTTTTTTTTTTTTTTTTTTTGTTACCCGTTTGTTATCGTTAATCGTTATTGAGATACGATGACTAGAATACGTGATAAGCGTGTTTCTTAGGGACGTTGTTTCTTAGGGACCAATCGAGACGCAAATTTATCGAGGAGTTGAGTCGCTATGCGTGAATTGCTGTTGCCGCGTGAATCGGTTGCTAAATTCAGCACGAATATAAAGATAAGAGATGACCGCATGATCTGATAGCAGACCGTGGGATCGATACAATAATTCGTCAATGCGAAGGAACTTGTTAAACGGGCATTCTTCACCAGAGACGAAACTGGATGTGTTAGGACAAGGCAGAAACGAAACGGGACAAGCGAGATGCGACTTTTTGGACAATGGGACAAAGAGTAAGAGACAGACAGACAGATAGATAGATAGCTAAATAGAGAAAGAGAGAGGGAGAGGGAGGGAGAGGGGATTGTAAAAGAAAAAAAAAGAGAATTGAAAGGATATTTCGATGCCTCAAGGTAAAACAAGATCCGGATAAACGGTAATGTTCCAACAAAGCCGATGATCTCGTGTGTCGCCCCATCCACCGTTGCCTTTCCTCAGCTTCGTCTTTTTTGCAGTACCAGCTACAGTAAGCGTCAGTTGAGTAGGAAAAAGATGTTCTCGGGCAGCCTTTAGGACGTTTTGAACCTTTGCTATCACAGCGGTCGATTCGCAATTGGTTTTCTTGTGATGGACTCCGCTGGTATCGGTAATATTCACGAATACTTAATAATCACAGAAATATTTTGGAAGATACATACATTGAGAAAGCGAAGGTAAGATTCTTGGCTGCGACACAGCGTACTTATGTAGCTTAGCTTAGTTATCTGCGTTTACATGCATTTGTCAGTGATAGGGAATCTTACCTTCGGAACGAACAAGAGAGAAAGAATGACTCGGACGTACCATTCTCCAATGTGAAAGACTCTAGGCGCCCTCATCATCATCGTGATCAAACCAGATTCTGTACGAGGCGCGATTCCGGGCCCTTTGCTCGGCGGCATGCAGGTTTGCGCGATATGTTGAAGACTCCAGTCCCAGTTGTAATCGTCGTACGAGCAAAACTGGGCGGCGCACTTTCTCAATTTGTTCCACGTGACGCGATTAAACGCCATGCCCATGTTGTGTTTGCTCGAGATCCAAGGAATTACCTCAGCCTGAATGAAATATCACGAACGCAGTTTTTTTAAGGTGTAGCGGTGATAATATCGCGTTAAGGACAAAACGAATAGGAAGATCGCGGGACGATCGGTGCGCGTGAGCGCGTGCGCGCACGCGCTTACATGTTACTGAATATGCAAGTTATTACTGCATACTTGTATCGGATATCCAAGGCAAATTTCATAGAATGCGACTCGTTACATAATACTGCTCCTATTAATCGTTATCTAATGATATCGAGCTTTCTTTCGTGAGATTTGTGATAATTCCCTGGACGACTGTTCGAAGCTTGCGTAAGATCATGCACAACTGACGTGTCATGTCAGATTATGAATTTCTCGAAGGTCGATCAATTCGCTAACGGACAAATCTGGAGAAGAGAAAATGACGCGTGCGTGCGCACGTGCGCGCCCGACTTCATCGAGACAGGAAGAGATGGAGAGAATTGCACGCGTAACGAAAGGGTCGTCGAAAGATGCCGGCAACCTTTTGATAATGATTGTAGAGTTCGGGTAGGAGTTGGAAAGCCCACGCGGAAGCAGATTGCAAAATCTGTGCGTTCCGAGCCATGGGTACGAAGCCGGCAGCGCCAGTGTTGCTAGCGATGTCATTAATGCTGCTGTTCTTGCTGTTGATCATCCCGGTGGGAGTACTATTGCTATTACTTCCGGTGCTACTGCTTCCACTGCCACTGCCACTGCTGCTGCTGCTGCTGCTGCTGCTGCTGCTACTGCTGCTGCTGCTGCTGCTGCTGCTGCTGCTGCTGCTGCTGCTGCTCGGAAATCCGCCGATTCTTCCGCTGTCACTGGTGTCTTCAGCTTTTATCGACTGTAGCCTTGCCGATGCCTCCCATCTCTTTAATCCACGAAGTAGCTCCTTTTGCAGGGCGCTGTTGACGCCAAGGAACTAACGGAGGAGGCGTGCGTGAAACATCGACACACAGATATTCATACTGAAATCGAGCTAATGATTCGATATGATGATAATTCGGTATGCACCCATCGTCCAACGATTCTTTACGCGATACTGGTTAATTTTTTTTTTTTTTTGTAATTCAGATCGACTCGAATTTGCCTGTTTCTCACATTTTGTTGAATTTTCATTTCTTTCATGTATTCCTATCTCTATCTACTTCTCCTTCCCTTCTTTGTGAAACGTGATGAAGAAAAAAGGAGAGTAGGAAAAAAAGACAGAGAAAGAATGCAATTGTTAAGTAACAGAACACTCTTCTTAGAAAATGAAACAAAGATCACATGGAAGAAAATATGGTAGGTTCAGTTTCATTAATTTTGTTCTGTCTTTATGAAATATATATAGCTGAAGAGTAGAGTGGAAGTAGTTAGTTTAACTTAATTGATATTAACGTGCACAGCTAACGTCATCGATGTGTTTTTTAACATTGTTCGAGAGAGTGACCAAAATATATAGTTGCGAAAAATATTGAATTTTGAAATTGCGCAATAAAAGGCGGGAAATGTGTGTTTTCATCAGTGGCCTTCAAATGAAACATCACAGTGGATTGGATAGCAAGACACGAATAAAAACTTCTCACTAGTAAAAAATCGCGCGAGTTAACGGTCCAAGAAGCAGAATTAGCCCGATTTCTTTTTCACGGTTATTTGCATATCTGGTTAGGGAAGGAGCTGTTCGAATTCACGCACCGAACGAGTAAAGCGATTAGAACAATTTGAGCAATTAGGGCGACTGAAACGGTTAGAGCGATTGGAACGATTAGTGCGACACGTGTGAGCCTCTCACCTTGCGGCTGAAATCGGCAAAGTAGTTGTAGGTTTTGAGATAGGTGCCCAGAGATAGGACGTTACATCTTTTGCAGCTATGTTTGCAGGTACGTTCCATCAGTCTGAGAACGTGTAGGAAATCCTCGGCGACGTAATGATCCTCCTCGAGGAAAAGGACTGTCCCCGTGTGATTTCTCGTGATCGACAATTGATCGAACACCCGATTCGCTTTCCACCACCAGTGGTGTTTCGTTTGCGTGAATTTCGCCTCTCTGTAGTGTCCATAGAGATCCGGGTGCTTGGCGTTGATGCAACCGAGACTGAGAGCTCTGTGGAATGACGAATTATAGTGGCGAAATAGCGGAAGAGTACAAAGAACAGAGAAAAACGTAGGTTCATTGAGAATCGAAGATAAGACAGTAATTAAAGACAATTTTCTATAAGTATCAGACGCGAATGTTTAGACATATATAAATATATTAGACATATATAAATATATTGTTCTCTTCATGATTAGTATATGATTTCTTCTTCTTTGGGAATTCTTAATTATAAACATGGGATTCTTAATTATAGCAAGAAATTAACCAAATTTAAATGTAAACAAGCAAGTACTTGTTTTCAGAATGTTGCTTGTGGTGCATTTAATTGCAGTTAGATCAATTATCAACTATACTTTGTGACCTTACAGTATTGTTTTCACTTGTTAACGATACATTTATAGAGTGCTTGTCTATTGTATTGATGCAAATGCGTCTAACGTATATAGTATTGTGCAAAAGTGTTTCCGACCATGTTCCACTTTATATTCTACAATTCTACATCTAAAAAAAAAAAATCTACAATTTAGATAATAACTAATTTTGTTGTTTGATTGGAAAATTTTATATTTCGAGAATTTGACCCTTATAATAAATTCCGCGCCAAGAAGATCATGATTTATTATAGAAGTTACATTTACTGACAGATTACTCACTGCTCTTTGCGAATATTTCGAGGGCAATCGTTCGGATCTTCACCGGGGAACGTTCGAGGATGAGTCTGTATACTATGGGGATAAAATATTTGCATAACCCGACAAAAGTCAACACTCTGCACGAGATAGTTGATGTCTGGATGCCAAACGTCGTGACTGAAGACCAAAAGGGTTTGCTCGATCCCTTTCGCCTGGGCCAACGATACGATCAGATGCCTGAGGTAGGTGAGCCGAGTGTGCACCTGAATCACTATTATGGGAGCGTCGTTGGCCAAAGGGCCGAAAGACTCTTCGTTGTATACTCTCTGCTCGGCATTCGCTTTTTCTATGTTTCGGCGAATCTCCGCTATTTCGAACTCCGTTAACGTCTCTGTGCTTGTGTTCGTTAACGTTGAGGAAGAACCATTTCGACGATCTTTCAGAAACCTGGAATTACAACTCTTCTTTCGGTTTCTTTCCCTTATCTCGTTTCTATTTATTTCTTTTCTTTTCACCGTGTTATTTTTCTTTTTTTTTTTTTCTTTTGTCATCGTACAGGACTTGACGAAGACTTTCTTTTCGATGGAAACGCAAACATATGTACTTGCACGGGCCGATTTACCTATGTAATTCTTGCGGTACAAGGGCGAACAGCGTCTCGTTCGACGAGGCTTGTCCAGCGGAGTCTCGACCGGTCAGGCTGATCACATGAAGCTGAAGCCACAGGAACGTTGCCAGGAAGACGAAGACGAGCGTCCTCAGGAAAGTTCCGCGTACCGATCTGACCGTTCCCAGAAACGCCACTCCTGCAATATGTGCCATTCTGCAGCCTCTCATAAATCACCGGCATTCGCAGAATTAGCACGTACACTATCGTCCAAAAGTTATCCGAAAATTTACTTATATCTGACTTAAATATGTAACTTTAATTACAAAACTTCGAATACGTGGGATTTCATGCGCACTATAATCATGGACATGCGTAACAGTATATCAAAATGCACTTGAATTGATTTTCAAAAGTCAGATTTCAAGTTTATCTTAAAAACTAGTCTGGCATTTATAATTGTCAAGTCTGAAGTGGAACGACGATTTTAATTCAATAAGCTCTTTATCTTCAAACACTTTGATT